AATTTCCGTAAATACGTAATGGGAACGTGGGGAATGAGGCTATTACCTCGTTAGCGGAGCCACCACATCGGTGCCAATAAATCCTAGTCCACAACAAATTAATTTGCCTTTTCGTAATTTATAAATGCAACCTACTTACACGCTCCTTGTCCTTATGGATTCCTTCTAATTAACTAATTGCCAATTTGAACGTTCCCGTTTACAATGTTTGTGTAACTACGGTGGAGAAAAACGATTGTTAGAAAGTTCGCATTTCGGATGCGAAATATTTACAAGATTCCTCCTCCTTGATATTCGTCGAAATTAGAATATCGAAAACAATCTCCATGCAAACAGGATTCGTTCTATAGGTAAATTGAATTCCCGTACATTTAAAGTTTTACGTCTTTATATTACATTTTCATTTTGCTTTCGAGGTGTTTGAATTTGTTTGTTTGGCATCATTTTTCGGGAAAGACATTATATTTTCTAATGAATTTTTAATATCTAAAATTTCTGCTTTTATATTTCGTAAAGACAAAACCGTGCATTGCTTTATATTATTCATGCACAAACACGGTGAATATATTTTCAAGAATCATTAACTAACAAGCCACTTTTTAGAACTTTTATGTTGAAAAATTCATAAAAAATCTTTATTTTTTTTATAAAATTTGTTAAACAATATAATATTTATATTCATATAATTAAATACACCAAACTTTCCATCGTATTGTTATAGTATCAAATCTTCGATTTAATATAAAATTAAAATAAATGAACAAAATAAAAATAAATTCTTAAATATTAGTACAAAACATTTTTTAATACATACATCATCGTTTATTTTCCTTTACTTCTTCAATTAACCCGGTTTCAAACAGTCCGGAACCAAATACCCGCACTATGTGAGTTATTGCTGTATGCTGTATGCACAAAAATAAGTATTTAGAGGTAAAAACATGCACAGATACTATACTTCCATATTTAATAAATCATAAAAAAATGTATTTTAACCAATATAAAATGTTATTGCTGATATTATGTTTTTTTTTACTTAAGTTATTTTTATCCATTTTATGTTTCATAAAACAATAATGACAATATTAATTATTCCTAAACTTAATGTCTTGCAATTTATTATTTTGTTGAGTACACCTGCCTTTCATATTTCTCATTTTAATAAAATGTTTAAAGGTCTTTTTATTGCTAATAAGAATATTTTATTGATATTCAAGTAATAATCGTTTTTATATAGATTTTAAATTTTAGTATAATTAAAGATTTTATAATTTTATTAAAATAGTGCAAGTATTATCAGGAAACAGCTATATAGTATATTCGTTGTTAACATAAGTCTGTCCATTTTTTCTAATTAAGAAGGCAAGAGGACACAGCAACAGAAAATTGCAACAAATACATTAGTGACACTAATGTAATCTCTTTTTTTACTATTGCGCGCAATTTTTTAATTTGAAAAAAACTTACAGGACTTATATTAGTATATTTCTAACACTTTTCCATGTTACTATGACCAATTTATTTGCAAATATTATTACCAACTACAGTTTTTCAACAATTAGATAACAAATTCAAATATTAGCAAGTGAGTTTAGTAAACTAAAAAGGTCAAATCTTGCACTTTTCAATTATTTTAAATTGTAAATCAAACAGTTTTCGCATTGCAATTGCCAATTTGTACGATAATGTAACCAGGATTTTATTTTGTTCATTCCCATTTATATTTAATTAAATTTGAATTAATGCGTTCTATGCAATTCTACTGAAATTTAATAACAAATTACAGATGACATAGCCATACAAAAGTTGAAGTAATATTCTCTTTAAAAAAAATATAATTATAGATAAGAATAAGTTGATAATGTCTTTATTTTTAACGTAATGAATAATCTTATTGAAGATGTTTTATTCTTTATAAGACATTCGTAAGTTAAAAATATCGATGTGTGTCTTTAACACTTATTTATGTATTTTTTTTAGTGGTCAACGAATAAAATCTGTTCAAATTCGATGTTAGCTATCGAAAATGTTTGTTAATCGATTTAAGATGCGACTTGATCTATTACCAGTAGCATTACCGCTCAAAAGTAACGTCATTTGGTTCGGTAAAGTGTTCGTTGTTCGCAGTCACTGTTCGTTAACCGATTTGATACTGTATTGTTATTTAAATATCTATAATTTTAGTTTTTACATTAATATCTTTTTCCTATTAATATTATTACTTAAGGTATAACGGTATATTTATTTTTGTCTTTATATTATATCATTGTGTTATTGTGAGATGAGTTTCAAAATTAAATCATGAGAGTAATGTTTAAAGAGATTATGTTATAATATTATCGTTCTTGGGCAGAAAGACCTATGGTCTGTAACCCTTTGCAGCAATTTTTGATTTTCTTATTATGTTATTTTGTCGAGTTTGTTGTTTGTAATATGTTTCAACAAATGTTTTTATTAGACCATATTTTAATTTTTTGTTTATTGCAATTTGTTTACTATTTAAATATAACTTATAAATTTATTTCATATAATAATAATTTCATTAATTGTTCATCAAAGTTTTTGTTCTACGACTCCAGACACAGATGCACTATAAATAATGCATGCGCCGTGTGCATACTTGCCATTTAATACCAATGCATCCAAGTCATTGGTGTTTATAGGTTTAATGTAATTACACTTGCTTGGAGAATCGTCCATATTTGCGTTCTATCACCGCGCATTAAATGACCCGATCGAGTTTGTTATGGTCTATTAGCTAGATATGTCATAAACCAATTGAAATTCAACACCAGTTATTCCGTATTTTAATAGTCTTATTTTGTATACAATAGCGAATACCTTTTGCAAATCTATAAAGAAAACTGCACCTAATTTTAATATATTTAATACGTAAGAACATATTTCAATTTGTGTCGTTATCTTTATTAATTCATATTTTAACTTAAAATATTACGTTAAATATGATAATTATTTTATATATGACAATAATGCATCTCATATAAGATTATATATAATAGAAATATTTACCATTATTTACTATAATTATAAAATAAATATTTCATTCAAAATATTTCATTCAGATGATAGTCTACATCAGGGGTGCTCAAATCGTAGATCGTTTGTAAGTCGATCAATGACATTATATTTTTGAAATTTCTGACATAAATTTCTGTTGTACCGTGAATCGACATCAAAAAAACGTTAGTGAGCACGTATTATTTCAATCACAATACTTATTTTTATGTGATAATGTCTACAATTAATAAATATTTACCATTTATAAACTTTGTACAGGTATTTGTTTGTAAGTCGGCGGAATTAAAAAAAAATCAAAATATACTTATCTTACCACACTTTATCATGGTTTTTACTTTTATATATGTTAAATTACCTATTACTGACTGTACAAATTTGAAAAAATAGATTAAAATAAACAAAATACTTAATTAAAAATAGTTTTCAATGTAAACATCAAAATTATTTAATAAAAAACGACAAAATAAATAAATGCAACAAAACAGATACTACATTTTCCAAAAAATATTATATTTTATTAAAGAAATTATCAGTTTTTGTTTGGACATTTAATTTGTTATCACTATATATTTTCTTGTAACAAGTTAGAGCTTTTTGTTCGTAAGTCTAGGAGTTCGTAAGTCGGGGGATACCTGTATTTTATTTTTGCCTAGTCGATGGTAGATCGCCCATGGTTTAAGTCTGAGCGCCTTTGATCTAGGATTTATCTACCTTTTTTCGCAAACTGGAAAATATTGAATTGAATAAAAAGTAATTTCGTATGTTTAGGTCTAATTAAAAGACATATTAAAAACAATTTTATTAAACAATACATCTTTTAGATAATTTCAAACTTCCATAATCTCAGAATCTTTCAGCTACTTAAACAAATTTGGTAATTTTTAAGAAATCTGATAAGTCAGATTATTATTAAACATATCTGCTAAATAACTAATAATACTTAGAAAAAGGACATGGGAATATAGTCCATTCAAGTGTAATTTCAAATCACATAATCTGCTAAATAGGCCATAACCTATATCCACCTATATTTCATTATCTAATTTTAGAACATCGTCTTAACAATGTTCATAAGTAAAATAAATTCTAAGAAATAGTACAAAAAAATATTATTGTTTTCCTTTGTACAGTCATGTCTCTTTTTGTGCAGTTTATCTCTATTTTATTTAGTTCCTGGATTAGTCCTGATTTCACTCCGGAATATTGATTATTGTACAAAAAAAAATGTATTTTTTCAAGAAAAAAATAGCGTAATTTGCTCTATATTAGTGTTTCTCAACCTTTTTGGTCCGCAACCCCCTTTTGTACTTAAAAAAATTGAACGACTTCCGAAGAATGGTTATATGCAGAAAAACATACCGTCTCGTCTGTTATCGATTTTTCTGCGATCCTCACTATGAGAATCACTGCTCTATATTAAAAAGAGTGTATGTAAATTCACCGCTGCGACAATTCACAATAAAGTTGTTATGGTGCATATAATTTGCATACAAAACAAATGAGCAGACAAAACATTTGCAGAGCGCGGGCGCAATTTGCGTACTCAATTTTAGTAACGAGCGCGGCATTTCGCGGTATTCCTTTAGGTCAGGTGAGCCGGCGCCAACCTTTTGATCTTGTCATGTTTAATATAAGTACACGAGACAACAACAGAAAGTACAACAGATGATACGCGTTATCATTAGAGCATAGCAATCGCGACTCATATTCTGAATAGATAGATACATCCAACGAATTTGCATACGTAAAACTGGAATCTATTCGGATTTTTTTTATGGATCGCAAAAATGCAACCTAATCGAAAATTGATTAGTTTTGGGATGCGCTGCTCTTGCATTCTATCATTTCATTAAACAGAACTACAACGTTGATTTTTTTTTGTGCGTTTGTTAGTACACCAAATATGAACCGAAAAAAAAACATGGGCTTATCAATTAGTCAACAGACCCGTTTTGTTTCAGGGTCTCCGATAACGACTACGAAATATGACGTTGGTAGTTGCGCCGCCGGCTACAACAACCAGTTGAGTCCGAACATGTCCCCCATGCAGCAACTCACAGGTAAAACATCTCACGCAAAAAAAAAAGAATATAGGAACACGAAACATGAACAGAAATATATATATACAAAAAACGTGTGACTACAACGAATTGTTATTATCTGGTAGCTTATCGTATTTGGTTGTAACTTTATCGTATGTCTATGTAATTATAGTATGTACACACACCATAGTTTGTTTCAAGCACTATTTAGAATTTAAGATTGTTGTTTTTGGTGTTCATGTTTTGGAGTTTTATTAGAAGCTAAGTGAAGTGCGTCAAATTTGAATAATGATTATGATGACATGTATGTAGACGAATAATATTGGCTTTCGAAGTTCAAGTAATTATACTTGGTCAATAACCAGTAAATCTAACAAATACATTAACATTTGTAATGATTTATATGTTGCATTTAAAAACAAATGTAGTATTAAAAATAGTTAGTCCCAAAAAATATTATTATTTCTAACTTTTATTTAATTTAATAATAATTTTAAAAATAGTTTTTACTTGAAATGAAATTAAGTTATCTTAAAAAAATAATTTTATTAATAACATTTTAATGTTCCTTCGCACCTCTGTAAAAAGGTTCGTATTATAGTCAGAAAAATACGGTAGTTATTGAGCTCTTAAGAAAAAAATCATTTACTGTGTATTTTTTATAAATAACGACAAATGTGAATTTATAAATAAAGAAATACTTCACATAGCGCGGGTAATTATGTCTACCAACATCCCGGAATGTTTGAAACCGAGGATTTTAAAATTGCATAAAAAATAAAAGAATGATAATTTAGGTATAAAAGAAAATAATTATGAGTACTTTGAATTTTGCGAAAATGTTCGTTTCCTGAACTCTTCGGCTGTACTGTTCATATGTAGTACTGTTCGATATACGCACTATCAATAAATCATATTTTATATACATATAACTCTCCTAAAAATACATCTAATATTAAATATCATTAGAACAAATTATTTTTCTAGTACTCGCGTAACGAGTTGCCTTTTATACAGAAAATAAAGACTGTTAAATATTTGTTTTATAAAATTACCCGTACAAATTTGACAATTACAAGATAAAGCAGAATTCATGTTTAATTTATCATGAGCTTGCGGTAAAGCGAATTAGACGTGCTACAATTAATATTCTAATTGACATGTTATTAAAAGTCTGTCACCAGAATTTATTGATTATATGTCACTAATGTCATTTAATTTAAATCATACAAGTTCATTCAATAAATTATCTCGTTATAATTATATAGTGTTCCATGGAATTTTCCATTAATTATAAAATAATGCATTAATTAATTCTAATACAGTGGAACCTCGCTAAAATTAATTGTAAGAAAAATTACTCGTTTAACGAGCGACGTTTCGCATAACGAGTGACGATGAGAAGAGAAGTCACGGATTACGCGCCTACTATATTATTTGTGTACACATATTATGTGTATTTTTGAATATGTTTCACTATATGAGTAAAAATCCGGACATTTTGGAACGGATTAAACTCGTTAAACGAGGTTCCACTGTACAGTGGATTAAACTCGTTAAGCGAGTACAGTAAAACCTTTTATTTCATACAAACTATTCATTCCTTAGATTTATCAGTTGCATTGTCGTATATTCTACTGTTAGTATATTTGAGTAGTAGTTGCTCAGTCTGGAAATTTTAATTTCAATTTTAAGAATTTGCTTATAAATACATAAAGTACTCGTCAGAAAATCTATTTCTTAATTTTGTAGTAAAATGTCCTGCTAAAGAAATTATCCTCTCACATTCAGTACTTGTTGGTTTTATGGAAAGAATTGAATATATACAACATCCAAATTGCTGGTTATCTTTCCAATTCTTTGAATATTTTATTTTTTTGTTAGTACTTTATATTGATCCCGTTTTGTAGGAATATTTTGCATTTCAATTCATCTGCCATATTTAAAGTTCTCGTCTAGTTTTATCAGAAAATTTCTCGAGTTTTGAATGATAATTCCCGGTTTTGCATCCCTATTGAATAATGTTTTTCAACTGTAGTCCAGCGATAAATAATTAAAAAACAAAGGCTGAAGCTTTTTAAATGATATTATTAAATATTAACTAGTTTATTAGTATTATTTATTACTGAATATGTTCTTTTCCCCACATAAACTAATGTAATATACGATAATGCGAGTCATTTTTCTTACAATTTATTTTGCTCGTTAAGCGAGGTTGCACTGTACTCAGTATTCGTTATCAATTACTTTAGCTCGTTTGTAGTAATTACTGATAAAAAATATTAGAAAAATGAATTATTTCAATTAAACTGAATTGCTTAATTTCTTTCTAATTATTTATTTGTGTTTTTTTTGAGATAACAATCAATAAATATAATAATTGTTTATGTTTGATTTAAATATAACAACTTCCATTAAATTTAATAATGGACATGAAATGGTACGTTAAACTGATAAAAATAATTGCTAGCTTTCCGAGAATAAATGACATTTGTTATATAATTAATTAACGAACTAAATTGATTAATTTTTAGAATTGCATAAAAATATTTTTTTTAGATAATAATGAAAAAAAATGATGTCACATACTTACAAAAGGCTATCGACCGTAGTCATTTTATATAATTTGATTATTTAATAATTACATTATCATCGAATATATTATTAGCTAAGTATTTTACATAAATGTTATAATTTTAGTATTAATTTACCAATTTTTCCATTATTTGCTCACAAAACACGATCAGAACACAATCGATTCCGACAATATCCCTGTTTGAAACCGTACTAATCGTGGAACTAAATACATACAAATGTATACTAATGTTTTGGAATTAATTTTTATTGTTCTCAATTAATATTTAGTCTGTTTGAAAATTTGTATTCCGCATTATACGAAGTCTTGCTGTCTGACTTTCGTATTTAAAAACGAATTTAAGCCACGTATTTTTATTTCATTAAAAGATATGTATTATGCTGATATTAAGCGTTATTTATATTGTTTTTAATTTAATTGATATAATCTATATTCCTCTATCATTAATTACCACTTTATCTCGTATCATTCTTTATTTTATTTTTAAACTTTACACTATTATTGTATGCATATTTAGAATACTATGGCATCATTTAAAATAAAACGAAATTTATTTAGATATGATGAATATTCTATTTATAGTACATACTTTCAAATCACGGAATAATACAAATTATCTGGATGAATATTTTTACGTTTCTATGAATGAATTTCGAATTTAATAAGTATAAAAAGTTAAACTTTTTACTATTCTACAAGTGTTGTCATTATGCAAGCAGAATAAAATGCAAACAACAATAAATGCTGAAAGGCGTTCACATAAAGCATGATTGATTAATCCCTACTCGCTATAGTCTATTACAACTATACTCGTTGAATAATCAAATGCTCAGAGTTATTTAGCTTTAATCAAACAACTTGTCATCTAATTACTTGTTTAATAGGTGATAAATAATTTTCTTAGTAACAAACTGATTAGTTTGAAGCATAGTTTTGCAAACGACTTTAGTACAACATAATTAATTATAAGTAGTTACACAAATAAATAATAGAATTATTAGTTGTATATGTTTGAAATGGAAGTAAATATTTTCCGCGTTGCGATAATGGCAAAGCATATTTAAACGCTGATAACGGCCGGCTTAATAATACGAAACGTTTGATGTTCGTTTCAAAGGCGATGGCGTTACGCAATTCCTGCGCTCGAATCCAGATTTCCTGGACAGGTTCGTGATGGAGGAGATAGAGCTTGAGCAGCTGGAACGATGGATCATACGCAGATCGCAGAAGATGAAAAAGAAACACGAGCAGAAGAACGACAGGAAGATTAGCCTGTCCAAGTGGAAGTTCTGCGTACACGCGGACAAAAGGAAGATGCTACAGGATCTGACCACGAGCTTAGAGAAACAGCCGACCAAAGATGAGGTTCTTTGGGAATTGGCCAGCTGCATTAGTTCGGCGGTGGACGCCGATGGATTTCAGTAATTCATTCGATATTTTTCATGCTATGGGAATGTTCTTTAATATTGTATATTTGTAGGTTGATACTGATCGAAAACGCGGATCTAAGTAGGACGTCGATTTTCAAAGGAAACATAAAGACCAGTTTGAAAGCCTCGAAAGCCGTCATTGCATACGTGATCGATAAGCTTGAATCCGTTCGCGTTTCCTACCATCAAATGGATAGTAGATTTCCCAACGGCTCTTTTAAAGATGTAAATTAACCTCTTCACTCTTAAACTCACCTAATTACAAATTGTCCATTGATCTAGGGAGAAGAGTACCATGTAATGTGCCAACCGGTGGTGTCCAATGGGAAATTAGCCGCTATTTTAGAGCTGTGGAAGATCAAAGGCAAACAACCGTTTCACGAGGAGGACGAGGAAATAGGCATGAGTTATCTTGTTTGGGGTGGGATTGCCCTGCACTATGCAGATTTATACTTCAGCATGAACCAGCAGAAAAAACTTAATGATTTTCTACTCGACGTAGTGAAGTAATTAATCGAAAATTTATTGAAGTTAGCAATAAATGTTAATTTACGTATTTTTCAGATCAATTTTCCAGGATATGATTAGCATCGATAAATTGGTGAAAAAGATTATGAATTTCGCTCAAAAGCTCGTAGATGCGGATAGGGCTTCACTGTTTTTGGTAGATACGAAGAATAACCAATTGTATGCAACAATCTTTGACGTTGGATTAGACGAGGAGGAAAGAGTAGAAGCCACTTCCAAGGAAATTAGATTCCCTCTCGGAATCGGTATAGCTGGTATTGTGGCTACAACTGGAGAGATTTTAAACATTTCTGACGCTTATTCCGATGTCAGATTTAATAGATCCATTGATCAATTGACCGGCTACAAAACAGATACAATATTATGCATGCCCATCTACATACAAGGAAGAATCATTGGTAATATTTATTTACAATATATAATTAGAAAGTACAATTAAAGTTTTTTGTTTATAACATTGTAGGAGTCGTGCAAATGGTGAATAAGCACACCGGAATGTTTACGAAGGAGGATCAAGATGCCTTTGAAATGTTCGCCATCTATTGTGGACTCGCTTTACATCACGCCCAACTCTACGATCAAATCAAGAAATCGGAACAGAAATACCGCGTGGCTTTGGAAGTACTCAGTTACCATAATACCTGCAATGAGGAAGAGTTTAAAGAGGCCTTGGGGAATGGAATCCCAGAAAAGATAATAGGAGTAGACGACTACTACTTTAATCCATTTGGTTTAAAAGACAACGAGAAGGCCAAACACGCAATATATATGTTTATAGACCTCTTTGGTCTTACCAGATTTGATAAAAACAGCCTGATTCGCTTCACGTTGACCGTTAGGAAAAACTATAGAAGAGTTCCATACCACAACTGGACGCACGGGTTTTCCGTGGCGAATTCCATGTACACGATCATAAAGCATTCAAATAATATATTTAGTTTAAATGAGGTAATCCTTTTAATTATACATTAAACTTGTAATTAATAAAATTTTGTTTTGTTTTTTAGAGCTTAGCTTTATATATTGGAGCGCTATGCCATGATTTGGATCATCGCGGTAAAACAAATAAGTTCATGCTGGATACCGCTTCTCCACTGGCCAACATTTACTCGACTTCAACCATGGAACACCATCATTTTAACCAGACTGTGACCATATTGCAGCAGGAAGGACACAACATCTTCAGCAAACTATCGAGTACAGAGTACAAGGAAGTTCTCGATCTGCTGAAGCACTGCATCTTGGCAACTGATCTAGCACTCTTCTTCAACAACAAAGACCGTTTATCGAAAATCTTATCGGAGGACAATTTCTCGTGGCACAACCAGGACCACAGGCTGCTCATTCAAGCTATCGCGATGACCGGAAGCGATTTATCCGCGAGTGCCAAACCCTGGGAAGTCCAAGTAAAGACCGTCGACATTATATTCCAAGAGTTTTACGATCAGGGCGACGAAGAGAAGAAAAACGGTCGAACACCGTTACCGATGATGGACAGAAATCAAACTAACCACCAGCCTGCTTCTCAGGTCGGTTTCCTAACAGGAATTTGTTCGCCTTGCTACACCCTCCTCCATCAATTGATTCCCGAAACTAAGTCTCTGTTGGATATGTGTCACGAAAATCTGAGGCGATGGAAGGATATTGACGATAACATCAAGGAAAAGAGGGAAGCGCGATGAAGTCATTCCGAAAGGGATTCTTTGCATCTAGTCAGTTCTTTTACTTTTGCAATATTGGCCGCACTGCTCTCGAGGGTTGTCTTTGGAAAACAACAAAGGCAGGTATAATCCCCAGGCCTCAGTTAGTGCCAAGACTTGTTTGTGTAAATACGTTTTGTGTCCTTCCCAATACTGGCATTAAAAAATGGACTGTTGCCGAGGTTTGAAAGTTTTTTTTTATATTATTTTCTTTTCTAGTTAGTAAAGTATTTGTATTTAAATAATATATGCCAGTTTTTATTTTTAAACAAAAATGTATATGTTGTCATAAATTATTGTACATTTGCCGCATTGAATAATAAACGTATTCAACGTATTCTCCCATACTTAATTGCACTCATATCACAGTATTATTACCTTATTATGTAACAACAATTGAAGCCTGCATATAGTATATATTTTTTAGAAACTATTCTTTCAATTAGCCCTAGAATTTTGAAACGTATGTATTGTTTACTTTTTGCAACTGTCAAAAATACCTTGATTTGCAGAGTACTAATTATTTTACAGATTTTGAATTTTCATCATCTAGCATTAATTGTCGACTTCGATCAATATTAATATTTTTATTAACATAAATAATTATTACAAATTTTGGATCTTAACACAATAGATATATCAGAAAAGGGAAGTACTTTACAAAGATGAAATTGTAACGCAAAATTCTCTGTATTTTTTCAAAAGAGTTATCTGCAACTGCATAACTATAAAACTGGTTTGCTTGCCAATTTTATTTTATGCATTTAAAAGCAATATACTAAGAACGAATCTGCGACCTTCGTGTAACTGCCAGAGGACTGTGGTGCCATAAAGGTTACGAACCTCTGATTTAGATCATAGTCAATCCCGATAAATAGTACATGATTAAAAATCCTATTTTCAGACAGATTTTATATAAAAAAAATATTATAAAGTAACTAAACTTTTACCATTTACCAAATTATAAACTTGAAGTTTAAAATTAATAAATTGAATAGCTCGCTACATAGATACAAATGAAGACCTAAAATAGGTTTAATTGCATATTACAAAGAAATGTTACGCAAGATAAAAAATCTTCTGTACATTTTTTTCACTATTTAATTAAATGAATATATCAATACTTTTCATCATTTTTTAATACAATTATATATATTCTCCAAAAAAAATAATATCACGTTTAAAGTTTTTTCTTTGTTCAATGAACAAAAATATCTTTGTGTGTTATAAATAATATCAACAAAATAATAAAAAATATTTTTAAATAATTACTTACTAAAAATTTTAACGACATTTTATCACAAACGTTTTTGTAATTCAATATATAAATATGATTTTAAAGCATATAAAAACGATGTTTGTATTAACGTTCCCGAATTACCACGAATAGTCATTTTACTGTATTTTCCTTTAAAACTTTAATATAACTTTGTATTAAATATAGAGTGGGTAAAAAGATATTTTTAGTTAATAATAAATTAATTTGTAATAAATTAATTTGTATAAAAAAAGTCTTAATCACCTATATTGGAAATTATAATTCCCAGTGGCAATGTAGATTATTGCATGTAGCGGATAAAAAATAGTTCATTTTAATTTGGTTTTCAATTGTAGTCCTTTGGATTGATACACTCTATCGTCCATAAAGGCACCACATAATAATAGATAAAAAGACTAAAATGTTTGACATGTAGACAGGAAACGGGATTCGGTGTATTGACCTGAATGCGCCTAATTGTAGTCCTGATTAGGTCCAATCATATGAAGATTAGGTCGAGTAAACTCGCACTTTAAACTGGCATCTGAAGAGGCAACCACGTGTATAAATCATCTGTTTGCTTGTTAAAAAAAAGCAAACAATGCAAGAAGTATAAATGAGCATGCGCTGCAGTTAAACACCATAACTGCATTTACAATTCGAACGTAGTTTGTATGTTTCTGTCTGTTGTTTGGTCGCGACCTCAGCCACTAAAGATTCTTCAATGTGAACTAAAATACCTTTACGCTCTATGGCAACATGGGCTCGGAATGGGTTAAGAAAGGTAAACCCATCAACTTGTATTAAGTGACAATATTATTGTGATTTATTATCGTATATGTCCGTAAAAATTAAAACAATACATTACATACGACCTTAACGGAAATCGTATGAGTAATCGCCAGCATGTTTGACCGCATTATTTATTCCACATTAAAACATAATTAATCTTTTTTATTTGTTTGTAGTCTGTCCGTGTAGCAGCATTGAAATCGAAGATGATGAGACTGTAATCCCACACGAACGAACTCCTCTGATTATTCCAAATGAGCCTGTTGACTTCGGCTATTGCCTGCTCGCATTCCTTTTAACCTTTTTGTTTGTGGGTGCTAGCATTGGAACATATTTACTAATCCGAGAAGGTAAGGTATTTTATTTATTTAAGAAGAAGTCCGCAATACAAAGAAACTGAATTATTTCGGTGTTCCTGTATTTGACTTTTTCTTTTATAGACATCGGGATTTGAGAGGTCAAACCCATAGGTTGGTCCCTCGCATCCAAGGTAAAAATTCTAAAGCAAAATAATGCAAAAATAATAATATAGAGATATATTTATTGCTTAAATATTTGCAATGAGAATACACAAAATTAAACTGATAATGGGTTTTCAGTGAATTTACAATCTGCTTATCGCTCTCATTTGGTATTGAGAGATGATTGGTCAACGGTGGAACCTAACGGACCAGTCAGACATATCATAAGTCCCGTAAAAGAGATACTGTTGTTAGAAACTTACAATACAACTTGCATCGATAAAGAGTCTTGCGAGGAGGCGATCAGGAATTTGCAAAAGGATCATATGCGCAATGGAACGGACATAAACTACAGCTTTTTGATCGGAGGAGACGGACGGATCTACGAGGGTTTAGGCTGGTACATGACTAGATCAAGTAACATGACTGTGGCCACTATAGCCCTATTAGGTAACATACTTCAAAAACATCTTCAATAATCTTAACTCATCGACATTTTTTTTTGCTTAGGTTCTTTCAGTGACTTTGATCCCACGTTTGACCAGAAAGAAAAGCTTAAGGATCTGCTCCATAATGCGATAAAAAAATCATTATTATCCTACTGCTATTCCGTTTTTATACGTTATGATCATATGGAAAGCTTCGAAAATATTGTTAATCTTGCGGTCGAACTAGAAAAGGAGAGAAAAAATGACTGCTAACCTTTCAATGCGGAAGATATTAGTTACTAATGTTCCTATTATTATTACTATTACCACAATTATGTTTGCACGTTTTTAAAATAATATATATATATATGTTTATACTTTCGTTTGTTTTTGAAATCTATTTTTGTCCTCTAATCATTAAGATTTTCAAAGAAAAAGCTTATCATGTGTACACAACAAATAAATGATACAATTCGATACTTCCATAAAGTATTTAGTTGAAAGCAGTTTCTCACTGAAAATCAATAAAGAAGATAGTATAATACAATTTATTTTTATTCAATTTTAACATATTTTCTCGGAATACACTTAATTATCAATAATAATTACGTTCGGATTTGCTATGCGCTTTTGATCTACATATAAACATTTGTTAATTTTCTCCGAGTTTTCAAACATAAAATGGAAGCAATCATTTTAAGTTGCAATATTTGTCAATAGAACAGTCAAATTAGATACTTCAATTCTCAGTCTTAAAAATAATTATATGTTTAGATTAAAGTATATAAAATGTTGTATAAAATACCAACTATAAAATATTGGTGATAAAAATATATGCGTATATGTGCGATGTTATTTTTTTCCTTCTGATTTAATCATGAAAAAAAATATAGACGATCAAAGAACTCGTAGGCATATGGGAGCTGCTATATGGAAGAGATCAAAAGCATCCTCAGTCCACCTCCAATTTCCGGAAACTGCCCTGAAGAGTTTCAATATCGGTCGACCTGTTCCGGCGGCGCATTATGCATCGATCACTAAGTAAATTCATAGCATCGAAGGAAAGCAGACGCTCCCTTTTGGAGGCCAGCTCCTTCTTCCACAAGGCAATCATCTCAGCCATCGGCATTATACCGCCGTACTCCTTCGGGAGGACTTCCGCCGGAAGAAACTGGAGCATCTCGTTCACCGAACTATGCAGCTGCAAAAAAAAAATCAAATTAAAAATGTGGAAAGACTCGCACGAGAGGATAAGTAAGTTGCCAAATATGGATCAAATTTTAACCTCTACAGAATGATCTAAATTTGCACTATGCGGTAAACAACAAAATTTTCACTAATATTGTCCATCATCAGAGACTTAAATAACTTACTATAAGATTGATAGTCGTTAGGTTGTTCTACTCATATATTCTTATAAAGTGGACTTATTTAGCTACAATTTACTGTAATAAAGTTCCCTTGTTCAGACTTCAATTAAAAACATTAGAGAATCAGACCAAAAAACTTATAATAAGAAGTGTCTATAAATTCAAAGAAAAAAAATATAATACAGACAATATAAAAATAAAATAGTTATTTAACGTGCTGAATACATACAAAAATAAAACAAAATTTATTATAATTTTAATATTATGTTGAATAGTTACATTTTGTTAATTAAAAAATGTTCAGGTGGTCTAAATTCATAAATATATGTTAGCAATAAGAATTAGTTACCTTAAATCTGTCTCGCAACTTTTCGCTAACACGATTCGCAGCAAACTCTATGACGTACTTGAACGTAGACTGCAGGTTAATGATATGCAACGCTTTGTGCCGTATCGGACAGGATTGCTGTAACATCATCAATTTTGTATTAATTGGGTCGAATTTACGGATGCAACCGTACCTCGCCCCATTTCATGAGGGTCGCAAACTCGGTCACAGACCACATCGACACGTGTCCGACGCCAACTTTGGCGCCGTCGCCGAAGTAGGTGAATCCTAAAATCTGATTCTCCTCCTCGTCCAACAAAGTCTCGTAGGTGATTATATGGGCCCTGGCCATATCGGTGCTCGTAAATCTGTTAGGATCCAATTTACCTACAAAAAAATAATATCATCAATATATTAACTAAGGTCATCAGTTAAGGTTATCTCACTTGCAATTGTTAGAATCACCCTTCTTCCGAAATTATCTCTGTATGGACTCGCAAAAATGTATCTTAAATAATGATCATATTAAAATTAATGATTATATAATATAGTAAAATTGGTTTACCCCTTATCCATAAGCTCGTTTACCTTGGTATCTTGACAGTCCAGATCATAGAAAATATGTTTGAATTTCTTACGTAAATTTAAGTACTTGAGAAGTGTTTGCTGGGCCATAGGAATGCTGAACTTTTTGGCCCTCAGAAATCGCAGCAAGAAACTATCATCTGAGATCATGAACCAATATTATTAAGAAGAGTACATTCTACAACTGAGCCAATTGTAACCAACATTACTTATACTATTATTAAATATACAGGCATACCCTCATTATATTATCATTTTCACAACCAATATTATTTTCTAAAATGAATATTACTTTTTTCTACCTATAAGTCATCAATTAATCATCGCAGATTGTGGTAATAATCGTATAGTAAATAATACTTTATGTCTATACATACAAAACATTTATAGAAAATAGGTACCACAATTGGTGATTTATATTTATTACTAAATAAACGAAATAATATTTAACATCGAAATACAAAATGTTGTATATTAAGAAATTTAAGAAATATTTACTCAACAATTAACTAATGTAAACATAATACATACACCACTGTTTTTTCGTATAAAATTTAAAGAAAACTATAAAAATGACTATACTTGTTCTGAAGCCAAATCTCACAATTGATATATAGAATAATGTAAACTGTAATGTTAGTTATTAATTGTATTTCCTAAAATATGATTTATAATCAAATTACACCTTCATCTGAACTGAACAAACGCCATTTTTTATTTGGCAATTGTTATCATTGATAATCATAATGAATAATCAAATTTATAAGTTAAAATATTTACTTTAAGTGATCGATTACTATGAAGTACTATCAATGTTATGCCTGCAACAACAAATATTACCAGTTAAGCAATTTTCGATGTCCTGATGAGCTTTGACCCAGTCCCTGAAGGCCCTAAGGCATTGTCTGCGCGTCGACTCATCTTCTCTAAGTTCTCTGGTAGCAGTTTTAGCGACAGCATCTAAAAGATTCTCATCGCGTATTTTCATCTCTTCTGCGGCTTGTATCCATCCATTGGACATCATCAGCTTAGTACTCGTCATGGCAACTGCAACAATGAAAATTTGTATTAGGAAAACCAAATATTTGCTCTGCTCTTGCATAAAATCCTCAACAGCTATATTTGCAGAATTAATTGGCGTTCAAATTTGCTAGCGCGTACTGGACACTGTTTGCACTCGGTAATTGTTGCATACATTAGGTGAGCTTCCAGGCTGGAAGAGGGGGCGCATTTAATTGACTGACGATTTTCGGAATTGGGTAATAATACAAGAAACTTCGAATTGCGAAATGTGAGCAAGACGTTTACTGGAGACACGCCAGATGACATGTACACACAGACAGGTTTACGTAATGGGAAAGCCGAACACCGAAGGAGATACATCGCCAAGAAGTTGAGGAAGCGAAAAACTGTCACGAATTTATAAGTCATATATTGCGGGGCGAGAAAGGACTTTCTCCGTTTGCTTAATCGATAACGCGCGTATATAGACCGGCCCTCGGTAAACTATGCTAACTATCCGTAGCTCCAATTAACTACTAGGAAATTAGTGCATATCATTAGTGCATAGTGATTGCGTAATATCACTTCCAGCTCCTTTAACAATCACATAAATTAATATGTTATACGTTCGGTAACTGCCGTAAATATTATTTCTTGTATAAGAGTTGTATATTTTAAAAATACAGATCATTTCTGGAATGTTGAGTAACTTGTTATAACATCGATTTTCATTTTAAATTAACGCAAAATAATTTACAAAACAAATAGAACATGTAATAACAATTTTAATACATACAAAAAACAGAAACAACTCTAATCAAAATCTATATGCAAATGATACTTTAATTAGTATGAGAATTTGTATTTTTTAATAATAAATATTTTTAGCTTATTATATTATTATCTTTTATCTGCTGAATAAATAATAATTATTATTTTAATAATGTTACCATACTTCATTATATTAAACTTTAATTATATTATTATTAGTTATCGAAAATCAGATTTAATTCCTTTGGATTATAAATGAAAAACCTGTTTAATTTATCATATTATTCATATTTATCGGATCAATTATGAAATTGAATGAATAAGTAATATGTGAATAGTATTTTATAGAAGATTCCATCTCGAGATATAGTGCTTTTAGTCTAATTAGACAGGACATCCTTTTCACAAATTGACTATACTTTGAAAGCAAAAGCATCGCTAATTATTTTGAAATTGGTTCGGTATCAATATTTCCAGGGCCTGGGTAGTCACGAGGACAGATGCATGATCTATAAAACGGAAATAGAAGCACCGAGATCAGAAGTATTGCGAAAACGAGTATAATTTATTAAATACGAATTATGTATCAGCAACTGATGTTTATGGAAATAAAGCAACCTGCAGAATAAATAAATTATATTGCTGAATTATTTATTGAAGCACTTCGCTTTTATTTACAAGTTCTATATATTAATAATCAAATTAAAAAAATGTTTAAAAAATGCAATAATAAATAATATTATGGAGAGAATAATATGATTCACAGACTACTTTTTTAAACTTTTTACAAGAAATGTGCATTCGTACGTCCATGACATAAGCATGATTCATTGTACTTCAATTTTAATATGTGTGTTTGTTAAAATATCCTTCATTTTCTAGAGCAAAACAAAAGTTGAAGCATCAAAATTTCCTTTTATTAAGATGGAGTTCATGGTTTTTCTCCAAATACCAGTTAAATATTTTAAAATCGGTCATATTCGTGAATGGCTATCAATGTAAACACTGTATAAAAAAATAATACACATACAATTAATGGTGAAAAAGACAAAAGTATTAATGCAAGGGTCGTCAAACATTGCCTAAGTTGATAGAATATTAGAATAAAATTTCTACTTGGCGGACTTATTTTTAAAAAAATTATTATAAGGATGTCACAATTATCGTTAATTAAATAAAATTTGTTACGTTTGATAATTAGAAATATCCAGTCAATAATTATGATTGAATCAAATGTCAATTCATGATTTGATTAATACACTATAATTATTTGTAAAGTAAATAAGAAATAAAATTATGAAGAATTAACGCACGTTTATCATATAAAGTGTAATTTGTATTAAGAAGCATCATGTAATATGCAGACATCTTAAGTAGATATACATGTCATATAAGTAATTACCTATATTATTAAATACATTTATATGAAGTGTACTNATCAGAAACTAATATACTGATTAAAAAGCAATTAAATTATAAATATCTAATTGGTAGAAGATACATTCTATTATTGTTAACATTAAATTTATTTAAAAATAAGAAACTTATACCAAAAAAATAAAACAGTATATTTGTCCGGACTTTTGAAATTAATATAAGATTTAAACATGATCGGTGTAAGAATGCATAAAAAACTTCTTATAATAAACAGACTAGTAACTGACATTGCATATATTTGCATAAATATTTAATAAAAAAATGTATAATGAGTTGAATATGAGTGAATATTAAACAAAGGACTCAAGTTACCGCAAAATGTATTCACTCGGCAGACAAAGGATCACAAAACTTATCGGCAGGATGTACACACTTTTTCGTACTTGTCTCTTCAACTTCTTCGCAGTTTTATTTGTTGATGTTGTTGTTGGTCAGCGGTTGCTATGTAATTGAACTCATTATTGCACTCGAGAAACAAGACACCCAGACGAAGAGAAGAGGAAAAAGCAAGAAAACGAGAGAAGTTGACCTTAATCATTAATTTACAAGTAAAGAGGATCTTGCGGAACGTTCGACGTATAAAAGTGAATGAAGAATTTTGCAATCAATTCAGGAACACTGATTCTTTAAAGTGCCGTATTTGGTATAACTTCGAATGGAATGCAAAATAAATTTAATGTATGTTATTTGTTTCAAGTCTTAATTGATATTCTGGCTGCTCTTCGATTTCGATTTCTATTCATCATCATAACTAATAAATATTAATAGAAAAAATATATAATAATAATTACGTCCGTTCGTGGCTGAAAGGAAATCGAGCATCTTGTGTATTGAAAAGAAAAAGTGCGTAAAATGTGCGAACTGTGATGCAATAATAATAACAATAATGCATCTGCACCGTTGTTCTACTTTTTATGACGTCCTGTACCAAAATGTTATATAACTGTTCCCATATACGTCACGACGCACCACTTATGCAACGGTGACAGTGTACCGCTTTCTTTGCACTCTCCGCTCGATGGAAGCCCTTACATAAATGCAGCAGCCCACCTCTTTAATTTATTATGCGTCAAAAATGCAGCTTTCCTTTATTTTACGCACCGAACACAAACATTTTACGATGATGTTCTTTGATTACATGAATATTATAAGAATTATAAAATTAATAATAATAGGGCAGAAAGACATATGGTCAATAGGACTTTGTAACAGTTGAATTTTATTTTAGTTATTCTATTTTTGTATTAAGTTTTTTTTTAAATTTTATAATTTATTGTTGCAAAACCCATAAAATTACACGGATAATTAAAGACAATAATAATGTTTGTTATTTATTATATCGATAACAATTACATTACAAAAAAAAATGTCATACAATGTTAAGCGAAACTTTATTTCCAGAGGTTTTCGAACAAAGAAAAGTTTAATTTAATAAACTGTCAACTTAGATGCAAACTGAAATAACAATTTAAAATAGGTGTCCAACATTGATTGTTTATGTTTTTCTCGTTTTCATTTAACAACTGTGGACTTATTGCATTTAACTATTAAAAATAAAGTACTTTTTAAACTATGACATTTCCACCATTTCACATTTTTAAATCTTTGGTTGTTATTTTTTTCGACAGGAACTTCTTGAATTTCGTCTTCATTTATATTGTCTCAGTGGAAGATTTAGAAATCTTGTTTTAGCAACGAAACAGGGTTTTCTAAATCTTCTAAAAACCATAATTTTCTGCATGCAATAAATTTCTAACTTCCACTTCGTCGACATTTTCAAAATCTTAGATGTTATTTTCTCCTTCTGGTACAACTTCTGACAATATTTTGGTTAAATTACGGCTTCGTTAACCGAGGTATAACTCTATTTAGATCTTAAAAAGGTAGTTTTAATAACGAATTTATAATTATTGTAAATTCTTTTTCTGACACACAAATGACTATTTTAATAACTGCTAGAAGATAAATCAAAAATTTTATGCAAAATCTTTAATTGGAATCTACTTATTTTTAATTAACTTTTCAATTATCGTGATGATTCATTTTAAATTTAAAAACTGATAGATTTTTAAAATTTTCGTTAAAATATTATATATATCTTAATATATATATCTATTGTAACAACTCTTATAATAGGCACGAACAATAAATTTATTGATTATTTCCTATACGTATATTGAATCTGTTATCTAATAGTAATAATAATCTCTCGATATTAATTCTTGCGTGAATCCTATATTGATTTTCATAATAATTGAAATTTGTATTAGAATGAAAGCACTCGAATACAAGTAGATATTCGCGCAGAACAAAGGTTCAATAAAAAACAGTAATGTCAATGTAAAGAAACAAAATTTAGTATTCAATTGTTGTGTTGTCATTAAACGCAATGCAAGGTTCACTAAATATTCGAATATTTGTTTGTACTATATATTTATTTGTATATCAACAATGAGAACTGGAGTAATAAAACTGGTTCAAAAACTTACCTTGAAATTGCGACGATTGTTGTATATATCTTGAAGTGTAATCGGCGTAACAAAGAGTGCTGGATGAGCGACGAAGTCTTCACTTTTAGAAACTTCCTAGTGGTCTGATGCCATTTAAGGGGAAACAACGATCGGCCGTTGTTGTGAAAATGGTCTCGGCAGGAGGAGGACTGTCCGTGCTTTGCAGGCTCTGGCCCCCCCGTTCCGAGCGAACAACAAAAACCGCACGATTGCGACACCCATTTGTTTAATCAATTTCGCTAAACAATAATTACACCAAAAGGAAAACATCACATGCAGGTGAGACCTTCAACCGACGGATCGTTCAAGCGTTGTCGATGTTTTATTAATAATACCATCATCATCATCATTGCAAAATGCTATTGTTTTAACGCGATTCCATAGATAAATGTTCTTGCCTAATGGGATTATAGTCTACAAGTATAGCAAGGAGGAAGTGACCTATACCAATATACAGTGGAACCTCACTTAATGAGCACCTCGCATTACGAGCATTTTGAGAAAATGACTCGTTTAACGAGCGACGTTTCGCATGACGATGAAAAGTGAAGTCCCGGATTTCGCACCTGCTACATCATTTTTAAAACTTGTCTTCACATATTATGTGTATTTTTGAATATGTTTCACTATACGAGTAGAAATCCAAAAATTTTGGAACTTATTAAACTCGATAAGCGAGGTTCCACTGCACACTAATATGGGGAAAATTGTTTCACTATACGAGTAAAAATTCGGAAATTTTGGAACGGATGATGCTCGTTAAACGAGGTTCCACTGTATATTTAAGCAGTAATGGCAAACTTATGACACATTTTAGGTAACACGTTTTCGCTTTTTTAATAAACAAAAATATCGCGGCATCAGAATTAAGATTAATTCCGAATTTTCTATATAGATATAGAAGAGATAGAGGGGCAATAAAAAGAACAAACTTTCATGAATATATTTAAATCACATAATATAATTTTTAGACATTAAAACTTTCCAGACTATAAGAAACATCCGAAATATATAAAATAAACATGTGTAGGAATACATGTTTTCGATTAATTTAATAGGCAAATTTCGTCCTGAAATAAACATTAATTACTTCAGCAAAAATAAATACTGCTAGAATAGATAACAAGAAATAATTAACTAAATATATACTACATTTTAAATAATTATAGATAAGAGAAAACTCATAAATTGTTACTTTTTAGTTTTATTATCAAAAAATTCGTAAAAACAATATTTTTACATTTCTAGTCAATTTTTTTGAAATTATGATGGTATTCGAAACATTGAAGACCGTTCGATGTACCCAATGTCTGTCATTTTTTAATTATAAATTAAATTAACGTGTTCAATAAGGATATTAACTGTAATGACATTGGTTAAGGTCAAGTTTCTACTTCATCAACTGGTTATTATTGAGTAGCTCGTAACTCATGCACATTAATTGAACTTGATTTGTTATAAAAAAAACTCTTAAAATGTTACATGTTTATAAATATATAGTTGAAGTACCCAATAGTAATAATAATAACTATATATGATATAAATAAATAACGCAAAACGTATTGCATATTCTTGGTGCATTATTCAAGTAACATAAGTAATTCAAAATGTAACCAATAAATCAAAATTTACACATACACATAATGTAAAAATTAAAAACGAAGGAAAATTTATATTTTATGGACAATTTTAATGTATTTGATAGTTACAGAAAAAAAAAATACTTTTATATTGTTATATTTACAGAATTTATTATTTATGTTTTTGTTGTATTTCTTCTATGTACTTGTGAAGAAACGTTATCAAATACTATGGACAATACACATTGATTTTTTTTAAACTTCAAAATCTATTTTATTAACATATTTCGAAATTTATGACTAATACAAATGGGTCTGTGCTCATAGTCCTCATAAAATATAATTAAAACCTTCATGGGTGAAATATCACTAGTCCGTTTGAATTAGAACTTCCTCCAATTATGATATTCATCATTTAAAGTACTGTATTTATTGCAAAATAAGATCTACTTAGAAATAAATTATATATATGAGTCACGATTGTTGACTTATTGAGAAACATACGAAAATATAAAAGATTTAGATCACATAATCACATAATAAAATTATATATAAATATAACTAATAGACTTAATTTACTTTTGTTTTATTTTTTAGATTAGACTCATGATCATAGAATCTCAATTTGTTGGCCATAATTGAAGTCTCTAATTCATAAGTAGTTTAATATTTAAATTTAGTGGGCAAAATATGTTCAATAATCAAATTGAAAATTAGCAAAAATCTAAATAACATTATAGAAAAATTTTTATTACTCGTCAAAATAACACATAAACTGCAATTCTGGTTTTAGCAAAATTGTAATAAGATTGCGTTTTTTGAAGAAAGAAATGAAAATCTAAAATGAAAGGAATATCCTGATTGAACTTTCTAATTTGTTACAATGTGTTATTATAAATAATTTAGTAACGGCAATAATATGTTGTTTTATTTATATATTAAATTATAAACTAAATCTAATACAACATAAAATATTCACATTTTACGCAAAATATATTTTTATTTTTCAAAATTAAAAAAATATCTTTATATATTAAATATGCACGTTAGGAAATAGTTTACTGATTTACTGAGAAATATTAATGAAAAACATAGTGGGTTCTGCTAAAATAAATATATTTCTGAAATGTTAGTTATGTATTTTATATGCAATTGCAGTTGCCTATGAGTGTAGAGGTTGACCTATAATCACCAACGTGAAGTTTGGAAAGTAGTATTTATGTTGAGTTGTCTATGAGTTGTCTGGTTGTCTGATTTCGTCAGGTCTCACCTATTTGTCACAAACAGTTGTGTGCACAATTTAATGAATAATATTATACACTGAGCATCAATATAACATAAACAATGGCAGTAAGTATTAAAAAAGTAAATCTTAATTCATAATATATAATAACAAATACATTTTCAGCCACCCCAGAAAGGAAAGGTGGGCACTAAGGGGGCCAAACAGATTGTAGAGGAGAACATTTCCACATTAAAGTTCTACAGAAATATGGCCTTGGTTGCAAATGCATTAGGCCTGGTAATAACATTTTTCTATAGTTCCACTGCAACAATTGTAAGTAATCAGTTTTCTATTTTCATTTTCTCAAAAAATAAATCTTTTTTCTTACTATTTACAGATTCTGTATTTGTTCTCTTGCTTGATTTATATTGCCAGTTATCAATTCATGACTTTTATGTCGAAAGCTACATACTCAGAGACTGGACAATTACTAGATAGTGGAATTGATCTAAATTTGGAGGGTGGAATCACAGAGTATGTATACCATAAAAATAATTATTAATCATAGCTAATATTTGATGGTATTCAGACATATAAAGGATATTATAATTCTAACATCTGGATGTCAATTGCTTGCCTTGATCTCCACATACTTCTGGTGGTTGTGGATGTTTGCACCAATTCGTGGCTTCATGATTTTGTGGAAGAATATCCTTGGACCATACTTCTTCCAGTCTGCACCTGAAGCTCCTGAAGTCAATGAAAAGAAACAGAAAAAAATGGAGAGAAGGATGAAGAGGATGCAACATATGCATTAAGTGGTTTTGTTAAGAACAAAGGTAAGGCTGTGGGGTACCTGAACACCAACGTATTTTCATTAGATTTTTTATCATCAAATTGGATTGTTGGATCTTGCATTTGTCTGTTGCTAAATGAGTTGCATACGTCAATTCATTGATGCATGACGAACAACAATATTTTATGTTGTATTTAATTCTGCAATTTTAATTTATTTAATTGAAAATATACTGTTTTCTTGTTATAAATTATTTATTTATTTTTCGTTTATTTACATTATTCTTTTAAATTTCCAATTTTACTCTATTTAATACAATTATTTTACACTTGCCAAAAGTTTTTCTTTTCATTAAGTAATTTTTACAGCTTTCAATAAAGTGTATGATTATTTCACCTAGTGATTCACATTTAATGCCATCAAAAATATTTGAGCCTAATATCATATTGCATAAAAACCAACAAATATTCGCAGTTTTAACCAATCCCAATATTACATTAATTCTTTGATTTCATTTAAAGTAAACCAATTAATGAATGTACAAAAAAATAAAAGATTGTATACATAAACCATGGAAATACAGTATTTGTTTGAAATTAATATCTTTTTTGAAATCGATTCAACGTAAATTTCGTTTATCACGTTGTCGCGCCTCATGTTAATATTTCAAAATACTGATCAAGTAATGTTTAGTATGTAGACATTCCCACGATTTAATTAGTTTCTTTTAAAGTATCCATGAGCACAAAAAGGTTATTGTCAATCCGCACTATGGAAGGTATTCCAGTATTATAATCTTATTTAGTATAATTAATTAAATTATATAATACTTATTCTTCAAATTAAAATGAGAATCTATCACATATATATTGTGGGCCCTAGATATCACTTAGGTGATGAAGGGAACATGAGAATACAGTATACATTTTAGGATGTGACCAATTTTTATTTAAAAAATCTCTTCTTTACATTTGAAGCAAAGTTAAAGAGACCTTTAAATTAGAAGGTAAAATTTCAGCAACAGTGCAAACTTAAAGTTCAATTTTGGGTAAAAAATGTAATAATTCTGAGAGAAAAGTTAAATAAATAGTTAGTAAATAAACCATAATGTATTCATACAAAAATACATATAACATAATTTTAAATAATAGTATATAAAAGAAGAGAAGACAAGAAATTTGCTATTTCAATCCCTGGTAGTGATTAAACTGCTCACCGCCGGACGTCCCCTAACGCCCAAGGCACATTTAAAAACATTGATAATAATTAACATTCATATTCTTCTACTCTCCTAACCGTGGAAAAGCGTGTAATACTAAACGTCCTCAAACAGCCACATCCACTAAAGTCATACCCTGGAAAAAAAAAGTAAACAGTTTTATTATATGGAATTAAACATTATAAATATATTTGGATTTCTACTTTTGTTTTTGAATATGTCTTAATTTTATTGCATCCGCTTCTTCTTTTAGTTTCAAAAGACCTTCATCTATGGTCACAATATATATGATAAAACTGGAAGATCGCGTTCTTCTGACTCTACAGCAGCGTTTTCCAAACTGTGAGGCGCGAATATTAGTCACAGTGAGCAATTTTCTAAATGACCGCTAAAGTTTTATGTATTTTATGAGGTGGGGGGAGGCGCCAAATAATTAAATATTTTTAAGGGAGGTGTAGTAACATCAAGTATGGAATGACCACTGCTCTACAGGAATACGGGTAATCTACATGTGAAGACATAACAAGCCGGGGCCCTAAACTCTTTACATTATGGAAAGGTCTCGGAATGGTATCGTAAACAGAGATTGATTAAGCTATACATTAAATCTCTGTTTACTATACCGAAATGTGCGAGGCTATGCTAAAATTAGATTTTTTGTAAAGAGATTTATATCAATATAAATCTTTAGCCCTTTTTCTACCCCTTTTCGGGTTAAAATTAGATATTGTTTTGTAGACTTATCTGGTGTCCAACCAGCTTACTCCCCCCGATGGTTATGCAACCATACGTAACCCTACTGTACTCAACCTTATATTGGACAGTAGGTGTCAGCACTTATATTTTTTAAACAATTTATGTTGGTCCTACTGGATTATTTTGTTTACGATTTGAAAGATTATAACGACTTTCTAACAGTTATAAATGGTTGTAAAGTGATTGACTCTAATTGAAATTGTGTAATGTACGTTTTAAATTTCTAATTGAAAGAAAAATGTCTGACAAGGGAAAGAAAATGGATGAGAAACCGAAGATTAGAAAAGCCCCACAGGTTCGGCAAACATTGACTTCTGTATACAGAATGGTTAAAGCCAATCCATCGTTAATGTATCAAAAACAGAGGAAGGATGAATTGAAACTTGACAAAATCTCATTGCCACCCTCTGTTAGCATGGAGTATGTTCCAATACAAGTTAAAGAGAGAAGATTTAGTGAGAGCCAGAACTCACTAATAAAAAGATATTCCGATTGTAAGTCACTAAACAGGACACACCAAAGTACAATTAAACCAAATATAAATAAAGGTCAGGCAAAGCCAATGTCCAATAACATATTGAAAGAGAAACCCAAAACAGCTGCATTGCAAAATGATAATTTCAAGAAGCCTTCCATTCACGAGAACCATCCTAAAAATAAAATGATCAAACCTTCCTGTAGATCACTTTCTGCACAGCATTTCAACAGAAAGAAGCTTATTGCAAAATCAACTATTGAAGAGAAACTTTCAAAAGCAGATGTAACACAGTCTATGGAAGGAAATATTGATAAGGCAGGACTATTATTGGCTTCTGAATGTTCTCCTATCAAGCAGGAGGTGGTAACTCAAATAACATTCAAGACACCAACTGCTTATAAACGGAGGAGTCAATCTTTTAAAACACCTACAAGTGTGAGAAAATTGGGCCGTCAGTCAACACCTGGCCCAGGCTTAAATGATCTGCAACGCCGATTAAATGATTGGCTCAAAAAAAGAGGCAAACCGATGAGTACATTCCATCACTTGAAATACTTTTCAAGAGATAAAGTTATTACAAATGATAGTGAAGATAAAGAAAATGAGGCTGAAAATGTTGAACCTCAGATCACAGATGCTATTGATATGAATCCATCCCAGCTAGTTTCAATTGCCAAAGATGCTTTGGGTGATTTGAATCAACTGATCATAGATGTATGCTTTATTATTTAATGTACATCTGATTATTTAATTACTAATTATATATATTTCAGTCATATCCTCTGGCATTATGTGAGACCTGGTTGGGAACCATCAGGCAGAGGTATAAGGAGATAGAGGAGGAGCCTCAATATTGGGAATGCAGAGCTTCCATTGAACAGACCCGGGGTAACATTAGTTCTGCTGTTGAATGTTTCAAGACTGCTATTATCAAAGGGGCAGAGGTATAATGTTAATACATTAACTATATTATTCTACTAATTTACAATGCTTTTAGGTGAAAACAATAGATAATTCACTAGATAAACTATTGGAAAAATTTAGTTTGCTAAACATAGATACAAATATATCTGATGATGAAAAATATAGATCAAGTGCAATGAAAGATGCCAGGAATGTCTTCAAATCGAGTATCATTCAATTTGCGATCCAAGAACGGAAAATAAAAAAGTAACTAATATTAATAATATTGGTAAATAAGTTCTAATCTTTTAAAATTGAAATTTAGGGATCAAGGAAATGCACACGAGTATATTGTAACTCCCGTAAGACGAAGTGCACGACTTTCGATGTCTTGTGCACAACGTTCGCCGGCTGTAAAAATTTGCAATTCTTTCAATGAAATAGATGAATCGATTAGAGGCAGTATGAAATTTCATGGAAACAGTTATTTGAATTGATTGTTATTTCTATTAGTGTAATATTTCTTTAATTTTAGATGTTCATTATTTATTTTAAGATATTTTTTTATAAAAAAAATTACTTTCAAAAATTGAATTAAAATTCTGTTCTATCCATGTATATTATTGCATTCATTATAATGAATCCTTAAACACTTTCAGTTATAATTGCAGCAATACGCCAATTCCCGGACTATTTGGAACCGTGTTAATACAGTAAAATACATAATACATTGAAAAACAATATTTTTTTATGTTTCTTCACATACAATCAGGTTATCGGATTTGATTGATTATTTCTCAGAAATGTTTATAAATATGTTTCTGCTCTTAAAAAATTTAATGGACCCCCAAAGAAAGGGTATGTGTAGAAAAACATACTGTCCCATCTGTCATTAATTTTTCTTTGACCCCCTAGTATTTTTCGCGATCTCCACTTTGAAAATCACTATTTTAAATAATGGATCATCAAATAGATCATTGGTTCGTTTGATATAAAAATGTAAATTTAGTTTTTTTTTACCTTTGAAAATATTTTTATTAAAATTAAACTGACATTTTATATTGATTTCTAAACTTCACTTGCTACCAAATAGGTTTCGTAATGGTTGGGATTTTCCGTGACCTTTGTTAGCTAGGTATAATAATATGGTTTCGTTAAAACGCAATCAAATCTGCAAATGGACTTCCCCGGTGGCATCGCAATACCGAAATACCGTCAATCAAATTCCCGTTCGAAATGCCGACTGTATCGAAATCCCGACTATATCAAAATCCCGACTATCGAAAATGTCTACAATAAATTATTTCGGAGCCTAACTCACTAAATTGTTATTAATAATCAATTGTATTTGAGATTATTTCATAATGTTAAGGTTTATTATTAATAATTCAACAAAATCAAATAAATTATTAATAATTTATTGTTATTTATAATAAAAGTGTAGCACAAGGTGACTACGCTCTGAAATAATTTAAAAATGTTATTGTAAAAATTTTCGATATAGTCGGGATTTTGATACAGTCGGGATATAGTTGAAATAGTTGGGATTAAGTTTGTCCAGATTCTGATACAGTCGGGATTGTGGTTGTCGAGATTTTGATTTAGTCGGGATTTCGATACAGTCGGGATTTCAATAGACGGTCTTTCGTTTGTCGATATAGACCCGGACTTCCCATGTGGAAGTGTAGTTTACCAAGAAGAAGAATTTGAATGAATTAATCAATTAATTCCTCAGTCAGACATAATCTACTATTTAATAATAATAAAAACATTTATAGCAACAACCTTAAAATTACATAAATAAATACAGACAAAAAAAAATATGAAATAAAAAACATATAAATCACGGTCAATGAACCATAGGGCTTTCCTTATTTTTGTTAATATCACGTCGAAATTACATTTAAATGAAAAAAAAAATGATTAATATTAATATTTGAGGCTTTTATTTTAAAAGCTAAAAATGATTTTGTATGAATTGTCTTTGGTATAAATTATCAATAGGATCAACTTTATTTTAAATTATAATTCAAACGTATAAGCAGTTCCGCCAACATTACGATAATAAAGTTGTTCGGAAATTTTGATGTATCAACTGGGTTTGACATTTAGCTTTCACAATTGACACTTGAAGTTTTCAAAAGCTGATTTGTTTATTTATCAATTGCTCGATTTTAAGTACGATCGTGAGTTGAAAAAAAATCCACACTTGAGTCTAGTCGATCGATAAAATGCAGCGGAGATCGGATCCCGCCCATTATTTGCTCGGATCGTTTAGTCTCCAAATACCACACTCGAGGGAAAATGATGTACATCTGTAACCTTTAAAACGAGATTCAATTGAGAGTGCGTTTCGTTTAAGCATTAGATGATTAACAGTCCAGCAGAATGATGGAATACGAATACACGGCTTTTCGGAAGGAGGTGGATATGCACAACAGGTGCTGTGGTGGGGCTGCATGGTGCATCCGGGATATCTGTGGTGTTATATGTGCCATCATGACCTGGTTGCTAATACTCTATGCTGAGTTTGTTGTTATGTACATCATCCTCCTACCGAGCACAAACACAATTTACTGTGGAATAAACTTCATCATCTTTCAGATGTGTGCTATTTTGGCATTCACATCTCATTTACGAACAATGTTTACTGATCCTGTAATATCAATAAAATGTATAGATATGATGAATGTACTTAATTTGGAATTGCTTGCAGGGTGCAGTTCCTAAGGGCAATGCTACAAAAGAAATGATACAGCAAATGGGCTTCAGAGAAGGACAAGTCATATTCAAGTGCCCAAAGTGCTGTAGCATCAAACCAGAAAGAGCACATCACTGCTCAGTTTGCCAAAGGTAAACTATTTTCTTTCTATACACACCTTCATAGATAATATTAAAAAAAACTATTCAAATTAGCACATGTTTCATAATTGGCAATCAACTTGTCCACCTTGAAATAATTTCTACTTTAGTCACCACTTGGAACTAAATTTCTAATGATGAATAGATGTACAATTGGATATATTTCTCATTTACTATATTCTCAAGTCTAAAATATTTTTTTTGTCACTTGATTTGCATAGTATGCATATATTTATTGAATATAAGGTATAATAATTTATTGCATTCATCAAAAAAACAATGAGTTGCAGTTTCTCTGCCCCAAAATTAGTATTTCTTGAAATAATATTGATGACTATATGTATTTGTTCTATGAACCACACGTTTTATCAAATCTTGTAAGAAGATTGAACATATAGGACATATGTTATATGGTGGAACCTCGCTTAACCAGTTTAATCCGTTTCAAAATTTCCGGATTTTTACTCGTATAATGAAATACTTGTATAGTGAAACATACTCAAAAATACACATAATATGTGTACACAAGTTTTAAAATGATGTAGTAGGCACGCAATCCGAGACTTCTCTTCTCATCGTCACTCGTTATGCGAATCGTCTCTCGTTAAGCGAGTTATTTTTCTTACAATTCATTTTGCTCGTTAAGCGAGATTTCACTGTATAACATATGTCCTACTATTCAAATAAATTAGATTATGTTTATATAATTTACAATTCATACAAATATATATTGTATATATTATCTAGACAATAATAATATAATAGAAGCATATGCTATACATATATTTAATTAATATATGTTGAAATAATCACAAATGGATTTAAAAAAAACTTTACTAGTAAATATATTTGTATAACAATTAAATGGAATAATATTGATTTTTTGATAATCAATCAGTCGTTCAAAAAAAAACATATACAGGAATAAAAAAAAACAAAATAAATATATATAATTTAAAAAGAAGTCAACTGATACAAAGGGCTATTGTATTTTGTTTTATTTTTAGACAATAATTAAATATTGAATTAAATTTGAAATTTAAGAAAAGTACAGGTATACGTCGTTTTGCTAAACCCTATAGTTAGCTCACTGTAAATATAGGTTCATTTTATTCGACCTACAACGGCTTTTGTAGGAGCGGAACCCCGGCATAAAACAACGTTTACCTGTATACTATTTTCTATGCGTATACTATATTTTCATAATAAATTATGAATGGGAATTTGATTATTTAGAAATAATATTTAAAAAAAAAGAACTTGTTTATAATGAATAAAAAATCCGAATATTAAATATGTTAAATATTTTATTATGTGCATATTCTACACGCATAGTATATGTGTGAATGACATTGATTCACTAACAGATGTGATGCAATCAATAATACAAAAAAATATATGAGTATTGGACCAGAGATATTGGACCGGTGTGCAGCGATTTTTTTTAAAGACCAATTATTTTAGTTTAAAGATTAAGTGTGCTGCGTTCAAGTATATTATATCGTGAGATAAAAAAAATGGTTGAAAACACTAACTTAGACGATAGCAGATAGTATTTGTATGGACGAGCAATTTTAGAAAATTGAGGATAAATAAAATAAGAATTCCATCCAAAAAAAAACCTGTCCGTTTCCGAACGTTCTGCCCTTCGCATCCTCACTAAGATTCGACATCCTAATAACCTACTCCTCAACCCTCAAAATGATTTCCTTTACTCTAAAATTGTTTCTCTCCTCGACAGATTCATATCGCTTTCCCTTAATTTATTTCCAAGATTCCAATACATTTTCTCTTTCTAAATTCTCTATCCCTCATAATCCAAATTCTCATCCTATTCTATTCCAATTCACAGTAGATAGCCCTCTTATCAGGTTTCTCTTTTTATTTGATTTACTATTATTTTATATTATTATTTCGTGTTTGAATTTTTGGCCAATAAATTATGTTTATTATCTTTATTAAAATAAGAAGTAGTCATACTAAAGGACCACTTTGTATTGGAAGTATTTTTGTAATGGAATCAAACTATATTAATATAACTAACCGATATAATTTTAAATTTGTGGATAAAATTAGTTTGTTTATGTTGTTGATCAATTTATGGTCCAAACTAGATTTCAACCGTTCGAGATATTATTTTCATCGTTGGCAATGGTTTTACTAATGTAATTTGAAGTTTGTTGAATAACTGATTAACGTAAATTCTCTTATCGAGTTTAATGCTCGTTAAGCGAGCTTCCACTGTATATTAAATATTCATTGTGTTCTTAAAAACAAAGAACGTTGTTTAATGAATAAAACATTAGTGCGAATGGCCGAAAATAATAGTAACTAACACTGATTATGTAGTACTAGAATACAAATTGAATGATTAATATTCTGTTTAGATGCATTCGAAAAATGGACCATCATTGTCCTTGGGTGAACAATTGCGTGGGAGAGAATAATCAAAAGTATTTCGTGTTATTTACGGTAAGTAACTTCAAGGTCTTGTGTTATTTTGACTTATAATTATATTTAAATTTGCAGTTCTATATCGCCGCGATGTCATTGCATTCACTGTTCCTGGCCATAAATCACTTCCTCGTATGTATAAGACACGATTGGAAGGAATGTTCGACGTACAGTCCACCTGCGACGGCGATCTTTCTGTTATTTCTATGCTTCGAGGCATTACTTTTTGCCATCTTCACCATGGTGATGCTAGGTACCCAAGTGCAAGCGATCTGCAATGATGAAACTGGCATCGAGCAACTGAAAAAAGAGGAGGCGCGATGGGCGAAGAAGTCCAGATGGAAAAGCATACAGTCGGTGTTCGGACGATTCTCGATAGGGTGGTTCTCGCCATTCGCGAAACCGCTGCCCAAGACCAAATGCGAAAGTCTTCTCTACTCGGTTTAATTTCAGTTAATTTATTTATTACATCATATTTTTGTTTGTTAGTTTTTAATTGATACAATTAAGTGTATTATCTTTTTGTGAAGTGAGCCCTGTAAGGTTTGGGGCTTAACGTGATTCCGGGCAATGGGACGCTCGATGGTTCAGGGCTGTTCTCGTGAAGACTCACTCTGTAGACATTCATTATTCCTGCAAAGAACGTGAAGATGCAGCTGCGTGCTAGAACCTCGCCCAGGCACCTTCTTTTACCTAAAATACAACACATTCGCTTAATTGACACCACAACAAAAATATTAATAATAGCAACACGCGTATAATATAAATATTCCATTTATAATTATCGTAAGCAGTAGATTTGAATAATTAGATTTAATATTTTTAAACTTTTATAATCATGCCCACTTCATATAACTTTTTTAGTTCCAAACTATTGCAATCGGGAATGAAATGTTAGATTATATTGCAGTATGTACATATTCTATATAGTCCTTGCATGCTCTTGTTGACTTATCAGACGTTGATGCAATCAAATATTAGAAGAAAGAACAACTATATACTCACCAAAGTTGAATGGGATCAAATGCTCGTTGTTGAGTATTTGTCCTTTATCATCCAAGAATCGCTCCGGTCTGAAATTTTCTGGATCCCCCCATATGTTTGGATCGTGATGTACGGAATGGTTATTGAGTAGTACAGTTGCATTCTACAATAAAAGGTTTGCATAAATTAATAAAATAAATTTCCAAAAAATGTAGCTAGTAATCATATTTTTACTATTTACATTTAAAATGCAATAACGACAATTTCTATGTTTATATAAAAAAAAACACTACACGTTTATGTATATTACCAAATTATAATTAATTTTAAGAGTATATTGCATCTGTTTTTATCACCTTTACCAATTCCTAAAATAAGTAAAGTAAACACTGTTATTATTATAAGAGAATTTGTTAAAATTTGATTTTAAAATGTCTCCGATTTGTCGCGTACCCATTGTTTGCATATTAATTACGATTTATTTAATGGTTCATCAATTCAAATTCTTCGTGACAACAGTTATTTAACTTTCATTAGTTGACATATAATTGACGTTAATAAGAAGTTTAATGTAATTTCACAAAATTTATTTCGGAGATAAGTAAACATCTTGGTATAGATAAGATTTAGTTTTTTTTATATATATATTTGTAAACGTACAAACATAAATTATATTATTTATCTAATAGTAAAAATGATAATTTTATCAAAGTACGTTTTTATAAAAATAATAATATGGATTGTAAAAACGAATATCTATATAAATGCTAAAATTTATGCAAGTATCATGTTTTCCTATTTTTTTTAATAGCTAAATAAATATATAATTTAAAGCAACTACGAATTAATAAATATATATCTTGAATTTATAAATTAATTCAATTAATTATATTTATATTTAGACTACGGTTCTACGGTCAATAAAAAATGTTATATAATAATATTTTGGAACAAAAAATCACTACACTTAAAAACATGTTGGTTTAAAGGTTAATCAATACGTTTTTTAAGTGTGCGCGTTGTTGTTAAATAAGTTTTTAAAATGTGTACATACCTTTGGTATATTGTATCCATCGATAACTGTATCAGTCAAAACTCGGCGAGGTCCGGTGAGCGGCACGACGTAACAAAATCTTTCCACTTCAAGAAGCACCGCTTCCACATAAGGCACCCTAAGATGATTATAAATTTAGTTCGTTTTAACATACCAAAAGTAATTTTATTTACATGTTGCGTTCAAAGTATCTGGGAACCTTTTTGTTAGAGAAAACTGAATCTAAGCAAGTATGAACTTTATCCTGAATTTGCGGATGTAGAATCATCATCAATATTGCAAAAGATAGAGTATTACTCGTAGTTTCAGCGCCTGCCACGAAAATATCTAAACAAATCATCACCAACTGATCATCTGCGAATAACAAATTACAGATCAACATTCTTTTTTTTTAATATATAGACATTTAAAAACCTGTAAATGAAGGGTCGCAATTTTCTTTCCTCATTTCACTGATGAAAGCGTAAATGAGGTCGTCTTCTTTGTCCTCGACCCAGTTTTCTTTGTGAGCATTTATCGTCTCCATAAAGAACTCTTTCAACTCTTTGTTGAATTCAACAATCAAATTGTATCCGGTCATTTCAGGCGCAATGAATCTAAGCAAAGGGAACTGCGTCAATAAACCGCCGGACAAATCGAACAGCTTGGATCTGCGGTTGAAGAGGTCTAAAAGCTTCTGTAACCGTGCATCCTTGCGGGATATACGATTCCCGGCGGTTAAAGCCCAGAGGATGTTGATGACTGCCGGCGAAAAAATGCGAGGCATGAAAAAACCTTCGCCGTTTGTGGGTTGCCCCAAGATGCCCAACATCTCTTGGAGTTCGTCGAGAATCATTACATCCATCGAGCTCCTGCCGAAGCCTAAATTCCGCAGGTGCCTCACGACGAAGTTGCGTTGAATGTTCCAGAATTCGCCGTCGGTACAGGTAACTCCTAATTATAATGTAATCAAGTTATCAAAATAATAGAGATTGATGGTTTTACCCTTTTTGGTGCCCATCGAACGCAGACGAACGAAGAAAGAATCCGGTCGGGATTCGTACTCTTCAGCTCTCAACACTTGGCGAATTAAAGGATAGGAAAACACTATAACCATATAGTCGCTTCCAAATTTCAAACCTAGAACATTCGTTTTGTGTTCTTTTGCAAGCTCTGACATAGCTAAATGAAGACCGCCTAATTTTTTTGATAACTTCTTCAACTGCGGCATATTTCCAACGAACGGCATGAAAGCGGGACCTACAGTTAATAATAATTTTCGTTGATAATTATTAAGCAAAATAGAATACATTTAATAGCTAACCTGGTGGATATTTGTAGGGCTTCTTGATACATTTAAAAAAATAAATGAGTAGCAACAGGAGCGTTGCGACCACGAGGAGAGACATGATCTCGCGTGCACTGAAACTGAATGGACTTGTAAGGCGCGGAAAACACGTTAATTAACAAAAAAAAAATAGGCAACACACGACACGTTGTGACAGTGGGGGATGTTGACCCTTGCGAAGTTTAGAGTTCTTTTGATTGGTACTTTTTGGGGAAGATAGAATTCTATTAAAAAGTATACGTTGACATTATCCGATACAATTGAAAATACAAAATTAGTTTAAAACTTTCTTAATTATAAATGAATATAAATATAATATATCTTTGTTTTTAATTATAAATTATATATTTTTGATTATTTTAAACATCTACGAACTTTCTCAATATACACCGGTGTGCAAACTGTATGTAGTCAAACTGAAGGCGCACAAATTGTATGATGTTGTATACACCACGGTCTAGCGTTTAATAATTTAGAACGCTTGGATCAACGACATTTAACACTTCCAAAAGAGATCACGTTACTAAATCTAACGATACTGTATTAAACAAAACGCGCCAAGGACATTAACGCTTCCTACTACCACCACCAATAGTTATTTATGAACAGTACGATTTAGCGCGGCGACGCGCGCTTCTAAATGACTAGATTCTTATTCGTCAGTGAAGCGAACATCCAATAAAATTCAATATCAAAGATAAATATTTATTGATATAAAATAGTACATGTGATTGTGAGTATTATCTGCTATACTCATTAAAATATTTCATAATAATCAATAGTCGGCTCTCGGATGGAGGACCACACGGTAAGGTTTTGGAGCAATAGTAACTCCGTCCCTTCCTATCATATCAATCTCGGGATGTTCAGGATCTTTTTGAATGTCAAAGTTATACAAGATGGCACTGAAGAACGAGAACAAATTTGACTTAGCCAAAGCCTCCCCCAAACACCGACGTTTACCTGCAATGAAAGCCAAACTCAATAACAACAATATTGCCCAATTAAGAACTGTCATACCGTAGCCAAAAGGAGCAAAGTATTTTTCAGGAATCACTATTTTTCCTTCCTCTCCAATAAACCTTTCCGGCCTGAACGTTTCCGGATCTTTCCAGAAATCTTTATCCATGTGGATACTGTATAAGCAGGGAAGTATTATGGTATCCTTGGGAATGTGTCTACCCTGCAAATGTGTATCGCGGATGGCGCGGTGAGCTATTCCGAGCGGCGGGACATTCGCTATTCTTTGTACTTCCATCAACACTGCCTCAGTATAAGGCATTCTGTTTGAAAATATTAATAACATTGATCATATAGTTTTCAATTCACCTGATTCTATCCTCGTAAACTGGCCAACGGTTTACTCCGACAGCCTCGTGAATTTCGTCCTGAACGCGCTTCTGGATTTCAGGATATTTTACCATGTATAAAATAGCAAACGCTAAAGTGTTGCTCGTCGTTTCCGATCCTGCCATCAGCAGATCCAAGCACAGTGACAACAATTGTTCATCTTAAATAAAAGGAATAAAGTGAATATACAATATTTATTTATAATATTATTTAAAAATACCTGTAAAACTCTCATGCTTCTGCGGTTGATCCATCTTCGTGATAAAAGAATCTATCAAATCTCTTGAATGCGACGAGCAAAGAGTCGACTTATGTTCATCCACAACTTCCTTAATTACATATAACATTCCCATATTAATATTTTAAAATAGAACAGTTTTGTTTCTCATTACCCTCAAAAAAACCATCAACTTTTCTATGCCATACACAACATCATTGAAACCAGTTTTATCAGGGGCAAAATGTCTCAAGACAGGCATCTGATTCAAGATTCCACCAGATATGTCAAGCAACGTGAAGGTATGATGGATACAGTTCACAAGTGTCTGTAATCTGATATCATCCAAAGAGAACCTATTTCCTGCCATCATGGACCATAGCACATTTAAGACGCTAATATCGAATGCAGTTTGCATTTCTATAGGTTTATCGCATTGCTTCCTAAAGACATCTATTAAATCTTTGGTTTCCACTTCGATTTTCATATCCATATCCTTCTTTCCAAAACCGAAGTGCCGCAAATGGTTAACTGAAAACTTTCGCTGTTTCTGCCATAACTCGCCATCTGAAAAGACGATGCCTGCAAGGACCAATAAATGCATTATTATTATATTCACAAAATATCAAATCTCCTACCAAGTCTCTTTCCAAATGTACGTAGACGGAATAAGTATCCATCTGGACGGCCATCAAATTCTTCCCTAGTCATCACCTCTTTGATAGCATCAGGCCCTAATACGCAGACCACGATATTCCTGCCCAATTTCAATCCAACCACGTTTCCATACTTTTTCGATAATTCACACCAAACCAAATGGTGGAATCCCAAACTTCCTAATAGTTTCTTGTAAATATTTAAGTTTCCAATCACCGGTAACCAACTCGGACCTACAGAAAGAATAATAATTTTGAAACAGTTTTATTTATTATCACATGCAAACTTACCATTCGGAAAATTCTTAGGTTTTTTCGTATCATTATAAATAGCAAGTATAACTAGACAGAGGATAATTAAGATGAAGATAATCATTCTCGTTTGGACCCTTGCGCGGTGGATGCTAAATCAATTGTGGTACCGGTTGTGGAGACCCAAGCTTTTTATTGAAAAGGTTGAATAAGAGTGACCTGAATGAATTAACCTACGTTTACACAACATAATTATCTATAAATATACCGTCACAATGATATCTAGCGATCTGCTTACCTCTGTCTCAAGGATTTACCAGAGCTAACACTTAAACATATATAGAAGTAATAATATACGAATGATATGTGAATAAATGAAAAGAAAATGTAAACTTAATAAAAACGACAAATCTTATACTTAACAAATAAATGAGTAATGTGTCTGGGACATATTGATATAAGTATGACGAATGATATAAAAAAAGACGTTTATCAGAAACATTGCTTAATACATTTTATATTTGATAAATTTCAAGAATTATTGAAACTAACTTTTCTTAACTAATTTTATAAGATGTGAACAATGGAGATTAACACCTTTATTACTGTTTAGTTTTATAAATAAATCTCGGAATGACATCAATCAGAAAAATATTAGAAAGAAACTTATTGTTTCAATAAACATAAAATGCTTTAAATATTTAGTTTAATAAAATTAATACGTACTTACTTCTTGATCTGTATTATTTAAGTAAAATGAAATCAAATATTTAATATCAGCAAATAGTATAGATATTAGCAACGGATGCATTTAAATATGAACAGTGAACGCATTCTTTCAATTCTCGTAAAATAGTACGTGTTCAAAGAAAAAAAAACATTCAAATAGTATCGATACGATTGCGATAAACATTTCGGTATTTAAGACATCGACGCACGTAGTGATGAGTAACCAATATATTGTTCAAATGAATATTTGTTAAACCCATTTACTTATTTAAAAGTAATCGTTTAAGTTTTTTTATAATAATTAATATTATTTATTGACTAAAGTATAAGAAATATACATTTTTAGCAAGGTGAAGTAAAGATTCATAAATTAAAAATAAGAAATATTCTATAATAAAATTAATTAACAAATACAAAAAATACTATCCTAGGTCTTTTACATCTTGGAATTTAAATCTAAAACAATTTATGAAATAAAATGTATAACTTAATTTAATTTTTTGTATAAATTAATCTAAAATATCCTGTTCTGCAAACAAGAAGAATAATACATTTATTTTGAAGCAGATAAATATAAATCCTGTGGTCCGCGACTATCGAGTGTCCAAATAGATCAACAAAACCGATACTCTGGCATTCCAAATTCAAACTGGTTTTTGGATACTAACTTCGAAAATGTAGAGGCTCAGCCGAGGGAGCACCCACATCTGAATATTCGATATATGTTTGGCGATTTACGTCGACAGGACGTGCTAAATGTAGCTAGGCACTTCCAAGAGGGAAGTATCTTTTAATTTAATAAAAAAAAACTTCGAGTATAAAAAAAACATACACTCGATATTAATTAATTCGTTATTGCATAGGAAAATATCTCGACTGTATCAAAATACCTACTATATCAAAATGCCGACTTTATCAAAATCCTGACAGTATCTTTTATTATTAAAATTTCTGCAATAAAATTTTTAAATTATTCCGGAACTGGAAAATAAAATAATATTTTTATTTAAAAAAAAAGCAAATAAAACTATTTAAAAAGGAGAGTTGGCAGAGAAAAAATCAACTATGTATTTACGAAGTCTCTTAGTCTATACATCTTATTGTATAAATAATTATATAAGTACAAAAATGTTATTGCAGTATTTTTAATAATAAAAGATATTGTCGGAATTATGATACAATCGTGATTATGATTGTCGGGATTTCCATATAGTTTGTGGGCCAAACAATGTAAGTTTAGGGGGGAAAACAATGTTAACCCAGGGTACCCAAATTTAACGCCCCTGAATATTACATAGTCGACAATTAAGTCGAGACAGTTTTTGCATTCTGATGAACAAGAAAAATACAGTATAATATAATACACTAAATAATCCATCATATTTCAAAACGCAATTCAATTTAAGTTAAATTATTCTACACGATAATAAATTTCTATAAAAATATATTAACTATAAATCATCATTTCTATAAATTAAATTGAAAAATGTACTTTATACTTTCAAGTTGTATAAAGTACATTTAGGGTAGGGTAAATATTTTATTTATATATTTGTTTCCGGGATCTAAGTAATTTAAAATTAATTTCCCGGAAATTCCTGAAATTAAAAATAATATTAAGAGAAAATAAAAATATAGTAGTTAAGTAAACTTAAATTGTTACTCAGCACAGTCTATCCTAATATCTAGGTAATTAGTCCAAATTTACTTTCCTTTTTTTTGTTACTTCGAAACGGAAAATTTAAAAATACTACAGAAATTCCTGGGAAACGCTCGCAGCGATGAGCCAACGTTTTAAGGAAACCAATAAATTGTTTAATAACGGAAAGTGCCATATTTATTAGAACCGTAACCTCGTATTATATCTTAATACATATTTATACATTTAAAGTAAGATACTTTTTCAGTTATTTTAATTGATATAAAATATCATTACTAAGAAATACTATATACTTACATAAGACTTACATACTATATAAGAATTACAGAAAAACGTGTTTACAAAATATATATATTTCAAAACATAGGAAATACATAAATAGGGAAAATTGTGAACTTTGAAATTATTACAATGTTATCGCGTCCGCTTTAGAAGGGTACGCGACAGCTCGATGACGGACAAGTCGACGGTCAACTGGGCACCTGCCAACTCGGCGACGGTTAAGTCGGCGACGGATACTCAAAAAAATATTTTTAAGTAACTCGCTTATAATTATTATAATAATAATATTTATTGAAACAGTAAAATTACAAAATAAAAAACTCAAGACAATAATATAAATATCATAGATCAAAAAGTCAATTATTTCAAAAGGCTAATGTCCAAGTTGTCGAGTAAAAAATATAATATAACATAAAAACTAAATTAAAATATATATAACGACCTAGGTCTATTATTAATGTATATTTGTTTTCGTTGACTTAATAAACCTTAAAATTAATTTATTGTTATTAATATTAAATAATAACAATTAATAAACTAATTTCATTATAGAATATTTCTTATTATTAAGTTTTATAATAAATAAGTCAACGAAACCAAATACAACAATAATAATTATTATTTATTGTTATTAATACTAAATTGGTTTATGTTATATTATTTTTTTTGCTAATAAACTTATTTTTTTTATTATAAAAACACTGTTTTCTTTAAATTTTATAATTAATATTTTTGTTGTTTAAAAAATTATGTTATATAATATTTCTTGGCAAATAAATAATTATTATTATAATAATAAAGCAGTTTCTTAAAAATATTTGTGTATCCGTCGCCGACTTGACCGACGCCGACTTGACCGTCGCCGAGTTGGCTTATTCTAAAGCGGATACGCGGAAGCTCGGCGACGGACAAGTGGGCGACTGTCAACTGGGCACTGTGCCCTAACATGATATACGTCTTTTCTTTAGAATACGACTCGAAAATATTTGCCACATGTATTAATGTCACATTTCCAAAATATCCTGAGGAGAAGGCAAATGGATTAATCATTTTCCTTTTTTCTTATGGGAAAATTTCGTTTAGTATTCGTCTTGTTTGGTATAAGTCCAAGGATCTGATAAATACTCTGATTTGCAGTGTCGTGACCGACCATTTCATTATCATCTATTGCAGCGTATCTCAAACTTTTTGGTGCGCAACTCTATTGCACTTAAAAAAATTCTGCGACTTAAGAAGATTAGGTATATATAGAAAAACATCCCGTTTCAGCAATCCCCCAAATATTTTTGGCGACTTGGATTGGAGTGATTCCACTGATCTATTGTATAATTAATATGTATATTCATTAGGCTTACAACTTTGTGTATACACAAATACATGAAGATCTCTATATCGACAACAAACCCTGTTCCGTTATTAAATATTTGGGTAGGATTATAAAACTTTGATAAAGAAGCGGTTATAACTTCCACATAGTTAAAACTGATTTCCTTTCCACAAAATAATACTCCTACGCAGCTCCCAATGGATACATTTGTGTATTATATAATTTCTTACTTGATGGGTTTATTAAAGAACTTACGAATTATTAACATCGGGGAAGAGAAGAAGATGAAGAACTTAAGTGGAGAATAATCTTAATCTCTGGGATCAACACTGGTATAGTTGAATTCTCAATAAAAAGAACTCTGATATGTGATAATTAATAATATTCATAAATCCCACTAAGATTCCATAAATACGAGATAATCCTCGGTGACCAGAGATTTTGAATACCGGGACACAACAGAAGTGTAATTTAAAATATTGAAAACAGATTCCAACTTTGCTAATAATTGAATTGATTTAACGAAAAAAAAATATAAATATATATTGAGCGGAGATGAAATAAGTGGCTATAGATTGGGTCTCAAAAAAGCGGATCACAATCTTTAAAAATTTGTTAATACTATATTATATTGATTTATAAGTGCATGAATTCTCAATTATTTTCAACTTGTCTTATATAACATAATAATAGAGTAACTAATGATAGTAATATCGAACCTATGCAAAAAAATTGACGTATTACAGTAATAAAGTGTTAATGATTTTTAACAAATTTGATATGATGATAGATACGAAGCAACCAATTGTAACTTCATATTATTTTGTTTATGTATAACTTTTATAAAAAAATATTATTATTGATACATTCCAATGTTCATCAATCATGAAAATATAAAAGCACTGTTTCTTTCTGAGATTTTCTTAGAAATTTGCACATCGCAAAATATTTAATAAATGATAAGAAAATATTGTTTTTGCTTAAGATTTATTATGAAATTTCTTAACCGGATGGTAAGAAGTTATTTATGAAAAACATATTATTTAATGCTTATTATCAGATATCAAATGGAAAAGCGTGAACAGACCAAACATGATAACCTTTCAATTGGGAATTAAATAGTCATCAATAAATTATATCCGTTAATATTTTTTCAGGTCTGCTAGAGAAAATAGAATC